CCTGGGGCACCCCCGCTCGGGGGGTGGAACTGAGCCCCGCGAATCCCCTCCGGTTCCTCTTGCGCCGGAGCCGCCTCATTATCCAGCGGCGCCTTTTCTGCGTTTTTCACCGAAGACGAGAGAAATGTCTGGGTGCAGGGCAGGCCTGGCCGGGGCCCCCAGCGAACTTGGGGACCCAGGCTGGCAGGGGGCGGTGGGCGGAGCTGCCACCGGGCCCACAGGTCGGGCAGGGGGAAAGGTCCCGGAACCGACAGCTGGGTTCGGGGGCCGAGGAGTCCCCTCCCCCAGCCCTGGCGGGTCTGGTCAGTGGCCAGGGGCTGAGATTTGGGGAGAGCTCCCCGCATCACATGGCTGCTCTTCTCCCGCCCTGTGCGTCCTGTGGTCTCCAATAGTTTTGCTGAAATAAACCAAATCCACGTGCTCCCACGGCCCCCAGGGCCCCTGCAGTCCTTCCCCACACACACACCGCCCCGCGAGGACCCCCCCTCCGGCCTCCAGCTGTAACCCGCTATCTGGAGCGGAAAACAGCTGCGGCCGCTCCAAGCCAAGGGCGCGCTGGGGAGAGAACAAGAGGAGCTGTGTCTCCCACGTGTGCCTGCCCCTTCGGGGGCGCAGCTGACAGCCTGGGGGGCTGTGCCCTCGGCCAGCTGACGGGGTGTTGTCTTACAGGGCTGCTCCTGCCCCTGGCACCTGTGGGTCTTGTACCTAAGAGACGGGGCGTTCAGGGGGAGGGTGGCAGCCCCTGGCGAGGACCGGCTGCCGTGGGTGACAGCGGGAGACAGACACCCATGGACAGACAGCGCGGGCAGATGAACGGGCCGCCTGGCGCTGTGTCTGTGTCACCAGCGTCGCCCCCTGGCAAGGAGGCCAACCGGGGGTCACGTGAGGAAGTCGGGGTGACTAAGCCGTGCACATGGGGGCCTGAGGTCCCATCCCCTTGACGGTCGGGGAGACAGGCACAGGAGGTTATGCAACTGCCACGGAGAGGAGCCAGGGAGGCGGTGGCACACAGTCGGCCCAGAGTCGGCCCCCCGGCCCCCCGCCCCCCGCCCAGGTCACCACGACGGTGAAAACGCTTAAACGCTTGCCTGGCTGGTGTGGCTCAGTGGCTGAGCCTGAACCCATGACCCAGGAGGTCGAGGTTCAATTCCCGGCCAGGCCCGGGTTGTAGGGGCCACGCAGGAGCAGCCGATCCATGATTCTCTCTCATCATTGATGTTTTTCTCTCTCTCCCTCACCCTTCCTCACTCTGAAATCAACAAAAACACATTTCAAAAAATTAAATAAATGATAAACCGTTGGGCGAGGCGGGGACGCAGACAGAGACACGTGTTCACTGTGCCTCGACTCCGTGTCTGTTTGTTTGTTTGTTTCAGCTGGGACCATGTGGGCACCAACATGGTGGTGGTGAGGTTGGGGCCCTCTCTTTTCCAAACGCCCCACGCGGACAGACGCCGCTCTGGTGGTCAGAGGTGTGTTTTTGGCCGGAACCTCTTACGTGGCTGGTCACCGTCTGTGTTTGAAAGTGACTGTGTCCATCCTCCTCCGGTGGACTCGGGCCCCAGGCGGGTGCCGTGGCAGCAGGAGGACACCCTCCCGGTGAGCCTGGCATGGGTGACACCCCCCAAATGCGTAGAGCACACCAGGTCCTTCTGGTGGCTGTTTCTTTAAAGCAGGAACTTAGTTCAAGAGGAACCCCCCGGCACTAGCCGGTGTGGCTCAGTGGATAGAGCGTCAGTCTGCGGACTGAAGGGTCCCACGTTCGACTCCGATCAAGGACACATACCCGGGTTGCAGGCTTGATCCCCAGTAGGGGGCGTGCAGGGGTCAGCCAATCAACGATTTTCTCTCATCATTGATGTTTCTAACTCTCCCTCTCCCTTCCTCTCTGAGATCAATAAAAATATATTTTTTTTTAAAAAAAAAGAGGAACCCCCTGGACAACGGGGTGGCTGGGTGTGGTTAGGTTGGAAGCCAGAGGGGAGTGCTATCCAGAGCCCTGGGGTCCCAGGAGGGTACCTTGAAAGCCTTTGCTCAGGGGTCCGCGTGCCCCTTTCCAGCCGTGTTTTTACTAGTAAATGAATTAAAGCCTCAGATTTCCCGTGGAGGTGTGCAGGGCGGAGCCCACCTGCACCGTCAGGGTCACGACTCTGCCCCTGCAGGTGCTGTGGATCCCCAAGGGGAGGAGACGCTGTTTCCATAGCAGGAAGTGTGTTCCCCGCTGGTCTGGCTCCGTGGATAGAGCACCGGCCTGTGGATTGAAGGGTCCTGGGTTCCATTCTGGTCAAGGGCACGTACCTCGGTTGCAGGCTCCGGGCCCAGGTCCGGGGCATGCGGGAGGCAACCAATCGATGTGTCTCTCTCATATCGGTGTTTCTCGCTGTCTCTCCCTCTCCCTTCCACTTTCTCTAAAAATCAATGGGAAAGAAATATCCTCAGGTGAGGCTGAAAAAAAAAGAAAGAAGAGGAGAGGGAGGTGTGGACAGAGGCGGAGGTCGGGAAGGGGGCACGTGATTGCAGGTGGGATGGGTTTGGGAGGAAGAGTCAACAGACTGGCAGCTAGAAGGGGTGAGGAGTGTGAGGGTGTGAAATGAAGAGGGTGTGCCACTGGCTGAGAGGGACAATGGGAGGGGAAAGGGGAAAGGGTGAGGCACGCCATACCAGGGGCAGGGACGATGTCGTTAATGGGCAGGTGACTAATCGTACTGACAGGTAAGGACTGACGGTGTCGGGGACACCGGTGGCACTGCCCACTGGAGGCCGGTATGGGGAGAGTGGAGACTGGGAGGAGGAGGCAGCATGCAGGGGCGTCCTCACAGCTGTGACTCACACAGGCCTGGCCAGCACAGCAGGCCGGGCCGCCGGGGAGCTGGGAGACGAGGCAGTGGGGCTTCCAGCGGCCCCACCAGGTAGCAGGAGTGGTGGGTCCATGCGCATCTTTCGAATGAATGAGGAAGGCCTCCCCAAGGAGATGCTGAGCCAGAGGCGGGGCACCCACCACTCCCACCACCAATGGGCGGTAAGTCAGGTGCAAGACGAGATGCTGTTTGCAGCAGAAACAGAAAACAAAACACCTGGGAACAAACGCGAGAAGTTAGGAAGCGTTAAATCCCTACCTAGGCTTACTCACTCTTTTCACCTGTACCTGAGCTACGATTTAAAAAAATATATATTTTTATTGATGTCAGAGAGGAAGGGAGAGGGAGAGAGAGGTAGAAACATCAATGATGAGAGGGAATCATTCATTCATCGGCTGCCTCCTGCACGCACCACACATGGGATCGAGCCTGAAACCCAGGCCTGTGCCCTGACCGGGAATCGAACCGTAAACTCCTGGTTCGACAGGTCGATGCTCAACCCCTGAGCCACACTGGCGGGCTCAGCTGTGATTTGCATCCAAGTGCTAATTTGGAAACGGTCCACGAGTTCTCAGATGTTTACAGAAAACTGAGCACATGAACTGGACGCTCTTGCAACAGAGGAAGAGGAAGGACCGCGTCTGCTGAGATGGGAGTCACCACGTCCCGGTAACGGGCGGTGCTGAGGGCGCATGGTGAGAGCTGCAAGGCCACCATGAGGGGGAGGACAGGTTCCCCCAGAACATGGTACTGGGACAACAGGTTCGACTTCTTTTTCTTTAAAGATTTTTTTAAAAAATTGATTTTGAGAGAGAGAGGAAGGGAGAGGAAGAAAGAGCAACCCATGTGAGAGCAAACCATTGTCAGCTGCCTCCTGCCCCCTCCCTACCGGGGACGGAGCCCCCAACCCAGGCAAGTGCCCGGACCGGACCAGGAATCGAACTGGAAACTTTTTGGTTCATGGGACGACGCCCAGCCAATTGAGCCACACCAGCCAGGGCTAGACTTTTTTCTTTTTTCTTTTTTTTAGCTGAATCTTTACTTCACTCCTTATACCAAAATAAATTCCAGATGGAGCAGAAATGTAATCATGAAATATGAAACTATAAAATCTCTAAAAGTTGGAAAAATCGTTTCTCATCCTGGAGCGAGGAGGGCCCCCGGATCAGCAAACCTGGGGGAAACGGCCACAGACATAAAAGACTGGCTTTTAAGACACGAATGACTCTTACAAGTCAACAATCATAGAAAAGTCTGCAAAAGACACCACCCCGCATTTCACATCCACTATTACAAATCAAATTAGAAATTACAATCCAATAAAAAAAAAAAACAAAGGCAGTAAGCACACAGCCCTCTTCCTAACCGTTTTAGGACATTTACGATGATCTGTGCCCTTGAGGTCTTCCCGCCTGTGGTGTGACATGGAGGGCCACTGCCTGTCCTCGGGGCTCCGCACTCAGGGACCAGCACTGGCAGCTGGAGGCTGGCCCAGGTGGGAGTGTTTGCACCACGGAAATTGGCCAAGAAGCGTCGCTTGATTTACTGTTCTGTTTATGGACAAACTTCTCAAGGGCAAGACCCAGGGGGCTCATCGCAGGAGAACTTGGCTCCCGGACTCCTGCCGGCTGCCTCTGACCCTGCAGTGGGCGCCGTGTTAGCGTCTCTGGGTGTTTATCTCCGGCAAACAAACCCTTTCAGGGCCAGGAAAGTGGTTTTTTAAAAAGCACTGAACGCAGTTCCCTTTCCCGGAACAAAACACAGAGGCTCTGAAACAAAGAAGGGCAGAGGCAGCACAGTGGTGTAGTGGTTTATCCCTCCTTAGCCTGTGGGGCAGCGCCCTCCTCCCTCCCTGTCGTCAGATAGAGATGGCCCCCCTGGGTCCCGATGGTGTCCCCAGGTTGAGGGACCCGAGTGGCTGACAGCACCAGGCCCCCCCCCCCCCCCCTGTCCCCCCCCCCCCCCCGCCGCCCCCACACACACACTCCCGGAGGTACAGCCGCATCCAACTGCACAAGTTCAAATCCCCACCAGGGAGCTGGTTCCCCAAGGCCTAAGCTGACAGCACATGGATGGGGAGCGAGGCGGGCACCCCAGGCTCAGCCACCCCTGACTCCACGTCTTCACAGACAGTAGCCTCTGTCTGGCCACCAGGTCCACCGCCAGGTCATCCTAATTTTGGATCAGCCAGTGGTTCAGCTGTATTTCTGGGTCGTATCTGTGTGGTTCCACGTGGAGCAGCATTTGGTTTTTGGTTTTTGTTCTTTTTAATATTTTTTCCCCTTATTTCAGAGAGGAAGGGAGAGGAAGAGAGAGAGAGAAATATCCATGATGACAGAATCATTGATCAGCTGCCTCCTGCACGCTCCCTACTGGGGATCGAGCCCACAATTTGGGCCTGTGTCCTCGACCAGAATCCAACCCGGGACCCTTCAGTCCACAGGCTGACGCTCTATCCACTGACCCAAACCGGCTAGGGCTGGCTGTTATCTTTTTTAATTTGACAATCTAAGGAAAAGAGATCAGCGCCCCTGACTAAATAGACAGGTATTGCGTGTTTAAAAATTGGGGGGCGGGGGGAGACACAGGCTGAAAATTGCTGACGTAGCCGTGGCCGAAATGGCTCGGTTGGTTGGACACTGAAAGGTTGCTGGTTCGATTCCCCAGTCAGGGCACATGCCCTGGCTTCTGGCTCAGTGCCCGGGAGAGGGCGTGCAGGAGGCCACTGACAGATCCATGTTTTTCTCTCTCTCCCTCTCCCTTCCTCTCTCTCTCTCGAGAAATCAATAAAAACTCTTTTTTTAAAAGTATTTTTTTTATTGATTTCAGAGAGGAAGGGAGAGATAGGAACATCAATGAGGAGAATCATTGATCGGCTGCCTCTTGCACGCCCCCTACTGGGGATGGACCTCCTGGTTCATAGGTCGACACTCAACCACTGAGCACACCAGCTGGGCAATAAAAACTCTTTTTTAAAAAAACAGGAGAGGAGATGCTGACATAGGCCAGTGCAGGCTGACGCGGGCCTCGGGTCAGAACACCGTGCACCTCGCGGCTGGCCTGCGCCCTGCGTCTCCCCCGTGCAGGTGAGGCTCAGGGGTGGCACTTCAAGGGCTGGGACCCGGAGGAGCCCTCGGCCAGCCGGGCATGGATCCTGCAGGAGAAATCGGGAAGGCCCGCAGGGATGTGGGGACAGGTGAGTGCAGCATTGCAAGCAGCAAAATGTAAGCAAAGGGATGTCCGACGGCAGAAGATGAGCCGATGGCACACCCACCCGCAGAGCACGGGATTGCCGGAGCGCGTCGCCAGCCGGGCCAGTCTCCCTGTGAGAGGCTGTGTGACAGCCCGGGCTCAGGAAGAATGTGCTGAGGAGGGGCCTCGCACCCCCCCAGCCGCGGTGAGCCCGGGAACAAGGGGCGCCTTTGTGTTGAATACGTCTCTGTGCTTCCCACAATGGAAATGGTGCCACAATGAGCCAGTGCACGAGCGCCACGTTGGAAAAGAGAGAAGAGGAGCAACAGAAGCCAGCAGAGGACGCTCGCAGGGAGTCACCGCGCAGACGCCCGTGGCGGGTCCAACCTCAGTGCTGTTCGCATGGACAGGGACATGGACGCGGTTCTTGGTTTCCCTGGGGTTTCCTCTCTTTGTATTTACTTACTTATTTTATTGGTTTCAGAGAGGAAGGGAGAGGGAGAGAGAGAGAAACATCAATGATGAGAGAGAACCATGGACCGGCTGCCTCCTGCACGCCCCACCCTGGGGATGGAGCCCGAAACCCGGGCAGGAGCCCTGACGGGGAATCGAACCGTGACCTCCTGGTTTGTGGGTCGACGCTCAACCACGGAGCCACATCTTACAATTCGCAAAAGTGATTCTGGTCACCTTCCGTCAACGGAGGGAAGCGGTGCCCGAAGGCGGGGCCATGCACTGGCACCAGAGGAGGTGGGAGGGCTGCGCGCTTTCGGGCCCTCGGAGACCGGGCCACAGGACACTTTTCAAAGATTGGCGTCCGCCCTGAGGGGCACAGACAGGGGTTCTGGTCACAGGTGGGAAGGCCACAGGGTCTGGGCCCACGCCCTGGCCTGGCCTGGCTGGTGCTGTGAGGTGGAGAGGGAGGGGGCAAGGGCTGCTGGGCAGGTGGCTTGGCAGGACTTGGCCACCACCTGGGTTTGGGGAGGAGGAGCAGAGAGGAGTCGAAACCAGCTCCGGTGCAGAGACTGCTGTCCCTCGGGAGAAAGAGAAAATTCCGAAGGGGAGACTAAGAACAGAAAGCAACACACACACACACACACACACACACACACACACAAACGAGTGTGTCAGCGCGGCGGGCGGTGCGGGGATTCCGCTGTTAAACAACCAAGTCGCACAGGAAACTTCCAGACAATACAAAGAGCGAGATTCACCCTGACATCTCCCACCTTACAAACTAGAAGGAAAAATTAAACCCTAATTAGGCCCTGGGTGGTTGCTCAGTGGTTAGAGAGTCAGACCGCACACTGAAGGGTTGCGGGTTTGATTCCCAGTCGAGGGCACCTACCTGGGTTGCAGGTTTCATCCCTCGCCCCAGTGGGGTGCATGCAGAGGCAACCAATTGACGTGTGTCTCTCACATCGATGTTTCTCTCCCCCTCCCTCCCTCCCTCCCTCCCTTTCACCCTCTCTAAAAATGAATGGAAAAAATATCTTCGGGTGAGGATTATCAAAAAGCAAAAACCCTCATTAGGCAGAAGGAAAAACATGATAAAATCAGAATGGAAATCAGTGAAAGAGGAAACAGAAAAAGAAGAACACCAATAGCCCTGGCTGCTTTGGCTCAGTGGTTAGAGTGTCGGCACATGGATCAAAGGGTCACAGGTTCGATTCCCAGTCAAGGGCAGGTACCTGGCTGCAGGTTTGATCCCTGGTACTGGTCAGCCCTGGTCCTGGTCAAGGCACGTGTGGGAGGCAACCAATTGATGTGTGTCTCTCATATCGATGTTTCTCTCTCTTTCTCTTTCTCTCCCCCTTCTCCCTCCCTTCCATTCTCTCTCTCTAAAGATCAATGGGAAAAATATCCTCGGGTGAGGATAAAAAATAA